CCCCCTCTCGGTATCGGTTTACCATTGTCAGGGCAGCGTTGCCAAATTTCGGTGTAACAATGGGTCTTTGTTTAGCAGGGGCAGGTAGCCCCGGTTCCTCTTTGGTCGAGGGAGATCCGGCCAAATCGACTTCGCCACGAAAACGAAGGAGAAGGCGAGGAAACGTGGCCCTCGAAACGAAAGAGAGAGAGAGAGAGAGAGAGAAAGAGAGCTTGACCACGAAGGAAGAGGGATTTCGTTACGCGTTACCACGTTGTTTGCACTGGCACGCAATCAACGGGCTTGCGGAACTCACACGAAGCCCGTTACGGGCCCACTAAGGGGAGGAACTCGATCCGCGGGCCCACTTTTCGGTAGAACCGTCGTTATTTCGTGTCGAGATTCGAGAAAATTTTTAAACACAGTATCGCAATTAAAAATCGATATACTTTTCTCTAATTAATTCGTTATTACCCCCGTTTCTCACTCCCTTTGTCAGACTCATCTTCTTCGTATTTAATATTAATTATTAAATTATTAAACGATGTATATCCATTTAATTTTGATTAAACGTTTGAAATACGCGTCAAATATTCCAATTACGCGTTCCCCGAATCGTAAAAAAACCAAGTTGCAACAGTTGTCGCAAACATTTCTCGACTCCCCTCGAAACGAAACGACTCCATCATCGAAAACAACTTCGCGACGACTCACCTCGTGTTTCGCCTCGACAGATTAAGACCCATCCCAAGCCCTATATATATATATATATATATTATTAATTCAGCCGAAAAAGGAGGGAACCGATAGAGAGAGAGAGAGAGAGAGAGAGATAAAAATGGCGAGATCGAGAGGTTACTTTCACCGAGTGGCCGCCGCTGTCACGAATTATGACGTCTCGGCCGGTGTCACCTTCGCGGCGAGTACGAGGGGGCCGCAAAGATGGCCGTGTAATTCAACACCGGGGACGGAGAACGACCCCGATTTGCGGTGGTCCCTCGTCGCGAATGGGACGACGTATTCGGCAACACGGCGTAAATA